GAGAAACATTGGTCTACAGGGGTTTTGGATTGTACAGGAGGTGGTGTAGGCATCTATAATTACACCCAAAATTGTCTACATGCATAGAATATAGTAGAAGGAATTGTCTGCTTTATACTTTAATGCCAATTTACCTGATTTGGAACAATGTGCAGACTGAATCAGTTCTCTGAGTTGAAATGAAGTTGCAGTCAATGTTCACACTTTATTTTGCAATGTGGTAATATGCAAATCAGACTATGTCTCTCGAAGTGCATAGCAGGAGAAAACGCAAATCCCCAATGCCTGCATGAATAAAAAGAATGGAGGGAAATAGGGTGGTCACAGATGGTCTCCTAGAAAAGAACATCCGTCTATACCAAAAAAGAGAATTGATCCAAAAGCTATACATATGAATTGTAATTTGAATTTTAAAATGACAAAGGCTATAGAACGAAGGTGAAACACATCTAAGGTGGTAGAAATTAGAAACCAAGCAAAGCTAAATTCTTGGGTACTAGGTCTAATAGCAAAATGTGGGCATCGGTTTCCAGAAATGAGATTTTAGACAAGTACTATAATTGCAAAACCTGAGTAGTCAAGCATTCCTCATTGCTGGAAATGATTTCTGCAATATTTGATCCACTGCTGTCTGCTGTCTCCGGTATCCTGCCGTAGCCAGCCTGTTTTATCTGGCTGCTGGTCCATCAGATAACACAACAGTATTTGTGGGTTATCTTGAGCAAAGAGATTTTTGATATGATACAGCAGTGAAAACCAACAGAGAAGCAAAATGGGGTTAAATATTAACCGTGGCTGCCATTTTATGAGTTCCATTTAACTCTGGCCCGGGCACTGAGGGCCAAAAGACCCAATTTAACATTTGGGGCAGTGTTTCTCAACCTTGGCGACTTTACGATGCATGGACTTCAGCTCCCAGACTTCAACTCCCAGAATCCCATGTGTGGCTAGGGAATTCTGGGAGTTGAAGTCTACCCATCTTAAGGTTCCCAAGGTTGAGAAACACTTTGGGACATGGACAAGATTCACAAGTGATGACGCAGAATAGGCTGACATTTTTTTCCTCTTTTTTTTTTAAGGGAATAGAAGTATTTATTTTATTTTCTTGGAGGTGACAAGGCATTTATCTGATAAGTGTTGATCATTAATATCCACTTATGGAATGTATATACCAGTGTTTCTCAACCTTAGCAACTTTAAGAGGGTGGACTTCAACTCCCAGAATTCCCCAGCCAGCCCTTTCAGTCTCTTTCAGTTCGACCGAGCTCCACTTGGAACGAATGGGTGCAATGTTCTGCAGAAGACGGAGCACCTGGGACGGGTCGCCAGGTCTTGGATTGCTTGAGGTTAGCCTCAGCGACCATGGTTAACTGGGTTTGGTGATCTTGCTTTCCTGGGCCTTGCAGGACCCCAAGAGAAACCGGTTGTTCCAGTGGCGAGATGTGGAACTGGAGGTGGGCCTTACCCAGCTTGAATTTCCCCTGGCTTCCGAGCCCGCCTTAGGCACCTACAAAGTGGTGGTTCAGAAGGCTTCTGGAAAAAATGTTGAACATTCCTTCACGGTGGATGAATACGGTAAGATGGATTCAGTGCCTCTGGTGCCCGATGCCCGCTGGCCCACACCCAAATGAAACGGGACGGGGGTGTGCTGGGTTGTATGTTTTATTGCATGGATTGGGGGGTCAGATATGTTGGAAATGTTGGACATGTTAGGGGTGGGGAACTGAGCTGTTTATTTAGATTTACAGGTAGTGGGGAACAGGAGTTACAATTTTAGAGTACGGTTGGGAAAACCCAGGTTCAGCTTCTCCTCAGCCATGGAATCTCCATGGAGAGAGAAGGCCAGACCTGTCTCAACTCAACATCCAGGGTGGTCTAGAGGGGAAGAGGCTGGACTAGGAGTGGGGAGACCCAAGTTTTGGTCCCCCCCAAGGCATGGAAGCTCCTGTTGGACTTTGGCTCAGTCCCTCCCTCCCAGTCCAAGAACCAATCATTATTGCCTAACCCAACCTACCTCACAGGGTTGTGGTTATTAGGAAGATAGAAGAAGGGTAGACCCTCCCCTGAGCATTTTGAAGAGGGCTAGGATATGAATCTAATAAATAAATATCCTGCATCTCCACCAAATACTTGCCACTCCTAATGTGACTCCTGAAGTGACTTCTCATTACAGGTAGTCCTCACTTAACAACCATTTGTTTAGTGACTATTCAAAGTTATAATGGTGCTGAACAAAGGGACTAGTCTCTTACAACTGGTCCTTGCACTTACAACTGTTGCAGCACCCGCACAGTCACGTGATCGCGATCCGGATGCCTGGTAACCAGCTCACACTTACGACGGTTGCAGCATCCCAGGGTCATGTGATTGCCATTTGCGACCTTCCCAGCTGGCTTCCAGCAAGCAAAATCAATGGGGAACTGTGTAATTTGCTTAATGACCACATGGTCATTTGCTTAACGGCTGCAGTGATTCGCTTAATGACCACTGCAAAAAAGGTCATAAAATCTGGTGCAATTCACTTAACAACTGCCCCGCTTAACAATGAATTTTCCAGTCCCTATTGTGGTTGTTAAGCAAGGACTACCTGTATTTCAGGGTAATTTTATAATTTCTTGGAAGTTGCTTGTTGCAACGGGGCACAGGCAGAGCCAAGGCAGAGAGGTCTATCCTCTTTTTCATCTCTTTTTCTCTCCTTTTCTCTGCCACCCCCTCCCACACTCTTCTGATCTGCCACTTTCCTCCCTTTGCCACTTGAACGTTGTGGCTCCAACTGGTCACTTTTTCAAAATAAATGAGGATGAGGGCTCGAAGTGGACTTAAAAATGGGATATGAAGGATCCCTTTAATGTTTGGGACTTTTCTTCCTCGCACCTTTTCTTTCAAGATTCCTTTGGAATTCCTTCTGCCAGAGAGGAGTCCGGGGGTGTCCGCAGGGAGGGAGAGTCAAAAAAGTCAAGATGGGGCCGCAAACATGCAATCAAAACCCTGTTCTTTTTTTTTTTTTACCAGCCCAAAGTCACTCAGCTGGCTTTTGGCCCTAAAGGAGGGCTGGAGGTCAGTTTTCTGCTTCTTAGTCCAGCGCTTTTAAGCCCTTGTATCAAGCTGGCTGTCTCATGCAACTTAATTCTCAGCCCTTAATTCCAACTCAGCCAGAAACTGATAGCTGTAGCTCTCTCTTAGCTCCACTGCTGTGGGAATGAGGGCATAATGAATTAGAGAACACTCTGGTTTTTTTCCCCTCTTCTTCCTTTTTTAAAAAAATTGACTTTATCTTGATACTTCGTTCCTCCTTGTAGTGTTGCCCAAGTATGATGTCCAGGTGAAGGCCCCCCAAACCATAACGATTCTGGACAAGGAAACGTCTGTAACCGTCTGTGGCAAGTAAGTGGCAACAGTCCGGGTTTCTTCTCTTCTTATTCAAAGCCAGGATATTTTTTTTTCCTGACAGACGCTCTTCACATCAGCAGTTACCTTCAGGTTCTCCCTGTCTGTGTCCCCCTTCTGTGTCAACTGCTTTTCTACTCTGCAACGGGGCAGCCGTAGCTGGGCGAGATACCTTCAGCCCGCCCTCCTGTTAGGCAGAGGGGATGAACGGTGATCCTATCAAAGCAGGATAGCCAGGGACCACAAGGGCGGCATTCAGTTCCCCCGGCTGACGGACAGAGATAGGCCCGCCACACCGTCCGCCCTGGGTGCCTCAAACTTGCCTGTTTTCTCATATGATGCAAGACGCCTCTCCCATTCTTAGCAGTGGGGCAGTGAGAAATTTGAAACACGGGAGCTCTAGATGTTTTCCTCGTCTCTGTAGTCATAAGAGCTAACCCTTGGGTTAAATATTATTTTTTAAAAATCCCCTCTCACCCCTCTGGGTGGTCTGTGTCTTCCTCCACCTCGGGTGCTCTACCAGAGGCCTGGGAGTTTGAGGGTCCTGCACAGGATCTGAGCTGCTCCTAGCCCTGCACACTTCTGGACAGAGAGCTCTGAGGTTGTTCCTGGGATCTGTTGGAGCCCCTCGCCCAGCTTAGGAGTCACGGCCCCGAGTGCTCCTACCACCACTGGGACCAC